ACAAAACAGAAAACTAATATATAATGTACAAAAACAAATTATTAGAGAGGTAATTAATTTTTAAATTTAAGCATGTCATGATATCAATCACGAATTTAACATAACAGAATAAATCTACATAATAACATTCATGCATGGCAGGTGGATAATGACAGGTATGTAATCAAAACAAAAAATTAGGTTGAGTTATTGTCATATGAATCATAAACTTTAAACAATATTTATAAACTGTAAACGATGAAAAGACAACTGAAATCCTTCTCTGAAGCAATGTTTACAGTGAAGCAATTTCATAACAACTAAAAAAAAACCCAAAAAATTGAAACCTTTAAATACGTCCAATTCGACACAATTGCAAATATTGTAGCTCGGGTTTGATTGAGCCCGTTATATGACGGCACCTATAAATGCAAGCTACCGTCTAAGCCCCCTAGCAGGGATTTATGCATGATTCATAATAAACATTCTTAGATGCGCCTATACAACATTTATCATGGAACCTTCAGTGTGACAACTTCGAGCCACTTTGGGTCCAAACTCATTATCATTGATTCAGATCGTTTTATTTTCAATATGATAATATTAATTTGCAACAATCTTAATTTCAAAAGCATTCCAAGGTTAAACCAATATATACATTTATCCTTTTGACATTGAAACCCTACACTCGTATAAATCATTTACCAATTATAGGTCGAATTTATGGCATTCAAATAACGGTATATTGCCATATAATTATATACCTTTGGACAAAGAATTTGATACAACAAGTTGATACCATAAAATTAATAGGTTTCTTTTTTACACAAAAATAAATCGGCAGTAAACTAAGATAACAATAGTTTTCCAATGTCTACTATACAAAAAAGAATGTTATTAAAATACATGCAATTCCAAATTACATAGTTTATATCAGCTTTATTGAAAGATCTATAAAGAATAACAATATTTCCAACCGACGCCGATCAAATTCACATTAAAACAAAAGAAAACGTTTTTAATTGGACAAAATGCCGCACAGAAAGATAACACAGCAAAAGAAAAGACAATATTTTTATATAGCCAATTATGAACTACTCTGATAAATACAGCAAATTCTATACCCCCTTACGTGCTAAAGTAAAACCTTTATAGAGTTTAGTTGTACAGCCAATGTTAAAACGAATCTGACTAATTATCTTGAAAGAATAATCAACAATAAAATGAGCTGTTGCAAATTTAAAGTAAGTATAAAGTAAAACCTTTATAGTTTTTGGTTGTACAGCAAATGTTAAAAATTAAAAGCAAAACGAGTCTGAATAATTATCTTGAAAGAATAAGCAATAAATTGTGCTGTTGAAAGTCTGACTCACACACTTGTGTGACCGTAAATTCACATTTAATTAAAAATATATATTTTTAGAATTTTGACAAACTATGGGAAAACTATAAAATTTTGAATACAAATAGGTCACCTTTTAAGCTGTGAAAATACGTACGTCATGGTTAGCTTTTCTGTCATCTCAAAACAATTTTGTTTTCTATTTATTTTGCTTTATTTCTAATTGTTTATTTTAAGAACCAATTACCCTTAACCAAAGATTGTTATATTTTGTTTGTAAACATTCCGTCCAACTAACAACAAAACATCCCTTACTGAAATTACAGAGGTATTCTTTATAAAACAACTGAAACATGAAATGGGACCATGAATTCGAGACCGCTCTTTTTGCTTATAATAATAATTTGTCACTCCGGGGGAAATTTTATACTAAAAGGAGATATTTTAAATGGCTTAAGGTATGTGAATAAAATAGTGCCTAGTCAGTTGGTGAACGCATTATAAAAATGTGTGATGTTAAATTCACGAAATGACAACGGAACAAAACCCGACCACGATTGGTATAGATCAATGGAAGGTCTACATCCTTATTCTCATTCTAAAATTAGATACATATAATGATTCCAAAAGATAATGTCTTGCATTCGCCTTACAATAAACCATCAAGCAAAATATAAAAAAAACACTTATTGACTATCCATATCTGATAAATATATACAGAGGCATAAAAAAACTCTAATTAACTTTACTTTATTTACCAATGTATAAAGTCTGTGTTTGTTTTAAGGATATTATAAGATACCAGCAAGTGTGGATCAGCCACGCCTGTGAAAATGTTACACATTTTTTTCTATCCTTTGTATCACTGTCATTTTGTTCATAGATAAGTCACGTTTTCCTTATATGCAATAAATAGCTCTCACAGTATTTAACTAAATTCAGCTTAACCTTAAAACCAGTTACCCAGGTCACAATACATTTTATTACACGCCTTTATACAGCCAAATTTTTGCAAATTGTTGTAATTATTTCGCCTCAAGTACCAGCAACAAATGTACTGCACAGTACCTTTGTAATGCGCTTTAAACATATCCTTAAAGCATATTTTGGGTGGTAGATTTGAAGGTAGATCAAATAAAGGAAGATGCTCCACTGCACGTTACAAATTCTCATTTCCTGCACATTAAATAAACTTAACAGCCTGTGAAATATGACAATAAGACTGAAGTTTACTACCTGTGTAATACGCTGACCCGGATTTTCACATAAAATGACGAATTATCACAGTCGACTTAAAACGCAATTTATCAAATTTAAACAACATATATACATGTACATGTATTTATATTAACATTGGGTATAGTAAATTCAAGACCAAGAAATTCCATTGATAATCAATGACAATATATAACTCAGCGTCGCTTTATTGAAAATGCATTTTTCCTTAACTTTACTTTAATTGATTCACTTAAATAATTTAAACTTAAACAACAACTGATAATTAACAAGAAACGAAATTCAAACATACAACAATGTAGATAGGTATTCGTCTTTCCGCTCTAAATAAGAGATTAAACATCAAAGGGAATGGTATTGCATGCCTGCTTGAAATGTAATTTTCAAACAGTTGTGTTCAATGCATTGGTAATTAAGTGAAAAACGTTGTCTGAGCTGTAAACAGGTGCATTTTATGATAAATTTCAACTAAAACATAAGCATTTAAAGGCAGAGCATTTTTTCTTTACTCACCTATCGGAAAACGTAAATGTTTCATATAATCTACTAATAGATCTTCTAAAGGATCATTAAAAATTTGCCAACTTCTGTTGTTCTTAACACGTTAAGATAAAAGGGGAAAAATAACCAAACAAAATCATTTTCAGGGAAAATAAGCAGGCAAAATGTGTTTTTTCAATTTAAAACTCAATTTTAACTGAAGATTTCAAAAAAAAAACAGATTGAAGTTTTGAAATTGAGTATCCATTACAGGATAAATAAGGTCGTAGAAGAAAAGTTTCGGATAAATTGCAACTACACATTTAAACATTTGATTTTGTTTAGCATTTGAATGAAATCGTATGTTTTCTTGTTTTACAAAGACAAAACGGTTAGAAAAGATGTACATGTATTTACAAAAAAAATCACTCATTATACTGCATATACTTCACACTTTATTAATCCCTAAGAACATATCGTATGCAATTAAATTGAGTTTTAACAGACGTACGCAATTGTTTTAGGACGAAAATGCAGAATAGTAAATAAAAATAAATATGCACAAAGTAAGCAAAAAATAAATGCAACATCTGTACCTTACTAACGAACTTGTGTACAAAACATAAAGAAAGACTAAGTAAACATGCCCTCGGGAAAATGGTAATAATTATAACAAAATCAGTCGAATCGGTACATTTACGAATCTAACTTATGTTAATACAATACAAGATAAACCTTAAAGTCAGTACAAACTTGTCATCTGATATGCGCATGACATTTTCAAAGGCGCTTTTAAAGTCTTTCAAATAGTATTTTAAATGAAATGTAATGTAATCTTAGACATTTGCTCCTAAAATCAAAGAGGAACATTGTATCTTTGAGAGGATCAAAATTACGAAGTAAGTGGAAAAGACAACAGGTCTATAGAATGAGGAAATCTCGATCATCATGTTACAAAAATAAAAGTAGACAAAATAATTGTTCGCTCTCATTGGTAGGGTGTGTGTTTACCATCTAACACGTCCGATGAGTTTTATTCAATGATACATTATATCATCAAACAATCAAAATTGTTATGAATGTTTGTTTATTTTAATTTTCTTAAATTATAGTAGTTTTTATTATTGTTTACTAACCAAGAAAACTGGGACTTTTAGAACTTTTAACCAATCTAGAAGTATCTTAAATAACTAAATAACTATTCTCATGATAGTCTAAATAATACAGTTCATCAATTTCATTTTAAAGGCACAATAAGATGCATATTTACAACAAAATTAGGGAAATATAAGATATACATATAGCTCATTTTACGACAATTGGTACAGATAAACAAGACATGATGATCATAGAGATTTAAGAACAAGACATGTACTTATCATAATGTAACTAAGAAAACCCTCAAGCATTTGACCTTAACTTAGTTTTCTTTATGTCAAATTACTGTTACCGCAAGCGTTAAGCAATAAAATACGCAAAAACGTTTGTTTATCTTCTATGTTCATGAATATAAAAAACGTCATAAACTACCGGTATTACACCAAAAAATCTTGCAACTTCAAAACTGAAAATTCGAAAACAACAATGATCAGATTAATAGTGATAATTAAGGTAATGATAAATAATAAGAAAATAACGACGTAAATAGAAATTACAAAAGGAATAAGGCAAAAACAAGATAATGAAATCGATAATGATTAAAACGATGATACTGATAAAAACAATAAAATATATAATTATAAAGATATGTACAATGAAACTTATAATAACGATAAAAAATATAAATTATGATACTAATAGTGTCAATAACCATTACACTACTAACGAAAATGATAACAATTAAATAGTAATAATATTTTTTTCTGTTTCTATTATTAATATGTAGTAACAATCATCATGAGACTTTAGATTCAGATAATCATAATTCTATCACTCAATCTGTTTTTTTTAAATCTATTTTCAGAAGCTGCAGGTTTGAAATATGGTGAAGCTTTTAAAAATCTAATCACTGAGAATGGATATAAAGGCGGAGCAACGGGCGTATTGCTTGGCAACAGACTTGGGTACATTGAAGGCTTTGGTCAAACAATAACTGGACACAATGTCTATCACGAGACTTTACTCCCAGCCTCGGGAATTTCTAAAATTATCACCGCACTGACCGTTCTCAAACTGTTCCAAGAGAACACGTTGCATCCAAATGACAAAATATTTGGAGAGCAAGGAAAACTTGCAAAATTCACTCCAGCTCCTGAGCAGATTACAGACTCCAGGATACTGGATATCACTGTTGATGATTTGCTACGCCATGCTGGCGGATGGGATGCAGAAATATCTCCTGTTGCCGATCCAGTTTTTAATGAGTTTCTCGTGGATGGAAACCATCATCTTGTCAATATATCTAAAGAATTGAAACTGAAAACGCCTTTGAAAACTGTTGATGTCATTGGGTTCATGGCAACTCGACGTTTAGATTTCCAGCCAGGAACTAAATCAAGTGTCTCTAATCTTGGATACCTCATGCTAGGCCGCGTTATAGAAGAAGCAACTGGTATGCCGTATGACGTAGTAGTCAAAGAAAATATCCTAAACAATTGTGGCATGTGGCATACAAGACTAGGTCCACATACACATGAGGGACAACAGGTATATAAAGGAAGAAACCCTCGTGAAATCAACGCAGAGCTGCGCGAAAAACATGAAGTTATCGGGGAATATTATGCGTACGTTCAAACATACATGGTCGATTCTTGTTTGGGATGGTTTACAAATGCGTATGATGCAATGCGACTAGCACAGTGTTTGGACGGCAGTGCAGACTATAAGCTTCTAAATGATTCAACCATTGAAAATATGGCACGTAGGCCGAGACTTGATCGTTCTAACGACGACAGCTGGTACGGTGCAGGATTCAAAATTCACGAAGGCGGTGCCATTTGGGTTGGTGAAGAGCCTCATGCTCCCGACGTTGTTTTTCTACATAGAAACCTAAAACGTCACACACCAGGCACAGTATATACTAACGATGAGAATGAACCAATGGCCTGGACGCTTTTATTTGAAGGAAAGCCAAATATTGACGCCCCACTTAAGCAACTTTCAAGAGCAATGGTCGAGGGAGAGACACATTGGCCAACGACGAATGCTTTTGTTAATGACTTAAATGACAGGATTCTCAGTATAGGGCCAATAACAAAACTACACAAGTTGAGAGTTGAAGAACATGTGGCAAATGCTTACCTGATTGCACTTCAAAGAACAGATTATAACGTCATATGGTTGAACGCTTACACTCATGCGGGAGGCACTTTCATTACTGTTATTGCTGAAAGAGACCCTAAAGCAAGTAGAGAATGCGTTGCTGTAGCGGGATTAACGAGGGAAAAACTTGTCGACAAGAAGTTGGAACTCGAGGATCTTGGTTATAACATGACATTTTTCCAAAACTACAAAAGCTTTTCACATCGAGACAAATTCGTTTTCTTAGCTGTGTTCCATAAAGGTGCCTTCCGAAATGACAGTCGTATCTTGTACGGCATTCAGCACTTTGATCGCCCGTACAAAACCTTGCTTACCCTGTACGAGGAGAAAGGATACCGTCCATTGGTCCAGTCAATAGAATACAACCGTGATGACGCCTTATTATCGTTTATTCTTGAAGCGGACTCCGACAAGGAGAAAGATCAAAAACCCATTTACTCATCAGAAGAAAATCTCAGCGAAGCCCGTTTAGAAAAATGCGTAAGAAAATACGCACGTGACCAAAAACGGCTTATTTACTTGGACGCATCTAACCATCGCGGAAAGCCAAAGTTTTCTGCGCTTTTCAAGAAAACACGAATGACCAAATGGCTTTTCAGCCAAGGACTTTCACCTGAGGACTTGTTAATAACAATAGACGAAAAACAAAAAGAGGGATACCTCCCCTCAATTAATATTGGGTACAGTACAAAGCGCGATGAGCTTCTGTTTGCAACGTACATGGAAAAACCTATGAAAGACGTTGCCAATGATGATGTGATATAACCTACGAGGCATTCTACTGTCTCGATATCAGAAGAAGCAACTGTGATGAAACAAGTATAAAATGATAATTATCTTTTATCATGTTAACAGTTTAAACAATTCTAACACTGTGGTATACATATGCTCTTATAAGAGCGATTTGCCAAGAACAAAAATTAAGGATTATAAAATGTATATTACTTGTTTCAGTGTAACTCAGATTGTCGGAAGTATTTCTTTCGTGACATTGAAAATTACTTGACTTGTAGATAGTCGAAAGAGACTGAGGCTGTTATGTTTAGAATATCGGTGTTCTTTCGGGGTGAATTTACCTTTATTAAGATTGCGCAAGACGCTTAGTAAAATAGTCTACATTATTACAAGTAAGCAACGGACCGATATACGACTTCGGAGTTCGGAGTTCGTTCTTAAATTTACTTGTGTTCGCTTGATAAACTTTGTATATGATATATGTGTTTTTACGAGGATTCTATACAAATGTGCATAAGGAATTCATGTAGGTGTCATTATAAATCATGTCACATGAGACAGACACCAAGACAGCATATTATGACATTACATAATGTGTAATATACACTGAATAGATTCGTTTATTATCATGCCTTAGAATAAGGCAGGCAATTATTTGGTATCAGTGCACATTATTTATACGACTGGACATGTGTTTATGGGTATAAAGCACACACCTGAATATGTCACATTATGCTTCCTTAAGTTCCATTGCAATTTATATTTATGTAAAATGGATTTGAATAAGAAACAATGCAGTATCCTATCGAACGTATGTACTGCAATTTTAGTTTTAGAAATTTAGGAAGTATTTTAGTATTGACTTTATGAGTTTACAACGTCTTGCCGCAGCCAAAAATGAGTTTTGTTTTCATCAAATCAACCATGTGTTTGTTAGGGTAGTTCTTACATCACTGTATTACATTAGTAATTCCTGATAATTTCATGGATTAGGATTAATCAAGTTTCAATATTGTTTAGCATTAGCAAATTCGTTATTTTTTATTGAAATTAAAGCAAATGACTCAGGTTAATCAATTTTTGTGGGAATAGTTTTAAACACCAAAACTATGTCTAAAATAACTGTTAAAGAATTGAATGTAGTTTTGAGTCTGAAACTGAAATATGGTGGTGAAACAGTATTTTAAGGCAAGGGACTGAAATTTTAAAGAAGTCGTTTGCAAATATTGGGTTAAAGGGTTTCCACTGAGGTTTTTTGACATGACGCGACTGGAAATATTTTTTTGAGATTATTACTCTATTTGATGTAAATCTATACTAATAACTTATGAGCAAAATTTCAGATCCGTTTTTCCATAATGATTATTATATTAGTGAAAAATGACCCAAAATTGAAAAGCGTTTAAATGCTTTTCACTTAAATCGGGCAGAGAATAGCACAAACATATGATTTTCAATTTATTTCCTGCATATTTCTTAGTTATATTTTATCTATATTTCTGTTTTAAGTGGTTGTGTGGATCTATGTGAAAAAAACAAAATTTTATGTTTAAGGCTTATTAAACTCAGTGGAGTTCCTTTAAAGTCCATTAAAAAAACTCAGTGTTTCAATTTTTTCTCAAACTTAAAGATATACTTAAACATCTTTCTTGGCCAGGTGAAAAAAAAAGGATTGTCAAAAAACATTTGGTCAAATCTAGACATATACCAAATGGTACACCAACATTGGAAAAAAGTCGTATCATGTCAAAAAACCTCAGTGGACTCCTTTCACAAACAACATTAGATTTAAAAGTAACTTAACTAGTGGCTGTACCGTAAATTCTTTTTGTCTAAACAAAACCACTTAATCTTTAATACTATGTTGATTAAAATCCAAGGCATGTCAAGTGAGCATGAAACAATCTCCTTAGTTTGCCCTCAACAAATCTTATTTGACTGCCTTAACAGCTGGTGAAGGTAACATATGAAAAAAAAATTATTGATGGGCCTTATTTGGCACATAACTTTATTTCAAAACTATTTTCATTGTACAAACATGTGTGTATATACATTGTATATATATCATAATAGATTACTGTGTCATATATTTATCATATTTGTTATTTGTTTGAAGGGTAAGCAAGATTTTTTTTCTAAAAAAATTGACTTCATGTTACATATTATATTCATTAAAAACTGTTTTTATTTTCTTTTTTTGTAATTATAGCTCTATATAAATACCATTAAAGATGTAAATATCATTATTTTGTTGTCTGTTACAATTTGTCCAATTTAGCTATTAAGATTTTGTTGGCGTTTTTTAGTGTGTGTTTTTTGTTTTTGTTTGTGTTATTAAGTCATACAAACACTTTGTAATGTCATATATTGCCAGTACCTTTACAGTGTTTAGTGGTGAAGAAACATCTAAAATCCACAAAAGCCCTTTCAAGCATCGTTTCAGGCAGGACAGGGTACCTGTGTAGAACCACTAAACTTCTATTAACAAGTTGGATAGCATCCCTACATGAAAGAATAAAAAAAGTCCCTGGCAGAATTCAAACACTATAATAGCAGTGAAAGACAAATGGTTTGAATTCAGCAACCTTAGCCATAGAGGCCCTTATTCAATAAACTCATTCCTCATTCTTTGATTAAGTACTGATTTCAAATAATCAGAGAAGTGTCCATAAAAATACTGTTGGTAAGAAAATACATTTCTATGTATTGCTTCATAATCAAAGAAAATATATTTGATAGTTGCAACAACAAACTTATATCAGTCTGACATATAATATCAAGGAAAACTAAAAACAGCAAAGATCAAAAAGATATGACGTCATTATTCATCTTCAAAGTAGGTCTAAAAAATACATAATTTTCGATACAGACATTACTGTTCCATCAGCTTATAGTCCAAGGGACACAACTCTTAAATAAACCTATAATTTCATTCTGTATTAACCTCCCTTCACAGAACAGTTAACAAGTGATGTATTAGTCTGAAACAATTTATGCAAAAAAAAATAATTTAGAATGTACATGTATGTTAACTTTGGTTTTTTTGTGACATATTATACAAAGAATAACCAAGGATACATTTGTGAAAATGCATGACCAGCATTGTATAGCACTGCAATGCTGAATAAATATTTTAAAGAACCTGATAATTAGCATAAGAAACAGTAAACAACCTAGAAATTATCAGAACAAACAGCAAACAACCTGAAAATAATCATAAAAAAACAGTAAACAAGCTTGAAATTACCATAACAAAAAGTAAACAACCTAGAAATTATCATAAGAAACAGTATTAACCATAGAAGTGATCAAAACAAAACAGATAACCACCTAGAAAAGATCATAACAAACAGTAACAGCTATAGAAGTGGTCAAAACAAACAATTTACCACCTAGAAATGATCGTAACAAAAAGTAAACAATCCTGAAATGATCACAGCAAACAGTAAACAGCCTAGAAATGACCATAACAAACAGTAAACAACCTAGAAATGAGCTAAACAAACAGTAAACAACCTAAAAATTATCATAGCAAACAGTAAACAATCTAAAAATGATCATAACAAACAGTAAAGAACATAGAAATGAGCATCACAAACAATAAACCCTAAATATGATCATAAATAACAGTAAACAACCTAGAAATGATATTCGCAAACAGTAAACAATCTAAAAATGATCATAACAAACAGTAAAGAACCTAGAAATTAGCATAACAAACAGTAAACAACATAGAAATGAGCATAACAAACAGTAAACAACCTGAAAATGATCATAACAAACAGTAAACAACCTACAAATAAGCATAACAATAGTAAACAACCTAAAAATGATCATAACAAACAGTAAACAACCTAGAAATTAGCATAACAAACAGTAAACAACTTAGAAATAAGCATAACAAACAGTAAACAACCTAAAAATAATCATAACAAACAATAAACAAAATAGAAATGAACTTAACAAACAGTAAACCACCTAGAAATGATCATAACAAAATTTAAAAAAAAAACAGAAATGATCATACATGTATATCAAACAGAAAACAATCTAGAAATGATCCTAAGAAACAGTAACAACCACAGCTAAGAAACAGTAACAACCACAGAAGTGATCAAAACAAACAGTTAAACACCTAGAAATTATCTAAACAAAAAGCAACAATCAAAGTAATTATCATTACAAATAGTTAACAACCTTCAAATGATCGTAACAAACAGTAAACAATCTTGAAATTATCATAACAAAAAGTAATCAGCAGATTAAACAGAATGCAGAATTTAATGATGAAATTTTTAGCTTTTGGAAGTCAATATAAATGGTGTCTTTATCATACATGTACTTCTGTTTGTTCCAGTCAATTCACTGAAAACATGGTTGTTAACTGGTGCGAAAGCAAGATATATGACCAAACTAATTGACTTGATACCTTTCAAAAGTAACAATAAATGAATTTGTAAGTAATGTATCATGCAAATATCTTAGATGCTCAGATAATGCAATGACCTCTTACAGTTAAAATCTCCATTGAAGAGACCATTCCAGTGCTGGTTGATGTTTACTTCTGATTTCCCAAAATTTCTCACAAGCTGAGAAATTTTTTTGAGATACCACTTTCTTGAATTGGCAATGAAAATCAAAGAAAATAACCAAAAATAAAAAAATCATTTTGTATTTATGTGATAAATCAGCTACCAATTTGGTAAAGGTGGATTGAGACTGAAAAAAAATACTCATTTAAGACTGTTTCATCATTCTTGTTTTCCATATTACAGGATGAGAAAAAACGTGCAGCCTCACCAGAATTTAACCTGAAACTCTAAAAATCTACTTGCAACTACACGCTTTCATCTATCATCTGAGCTACACACTTTCTCTTTCACAACAATTTGCAAATTTCTATTTTACTTCATAAATAAGTTAATAATACCCTACATCTAAAGTTCAGTTTTTGTTAGACCAGTACTTTTTAATTACTTTAATTTGTAAAACTGAATGGACTTATTTTTTCACTGACTCAATATAAATGTCACAGTTCAGACCTGTTCATTATTTAGGGGAGAAGATGTGTAAGCGGCCGGATAACTCAGTCGGTAGAGCCGCCGAACTGTATTCCGAGGGTCCCTGGTTAGAGTCCCGGTCAGGCTGCACATTTTTCTCACCCTGTGACATTTGGCACCCTACAGGGGACGTGACTGATATAGCTCCGAGTTTAATTTACATTGCTCTGTAATTCTGTGAAATTTGAGGACGAATTTCAATATAGCAGGGGAGTATGTCACGATTCAGAACTGTTCACTATTTAGGGGAGAAGATGTGTAAGCGGCCAGATAGCTCAGTCGGTAGAGCCGCGGAACGGTATTCCTAGGGTCCCGGGTTCGAGTCCTTGTCAGGCTGCACATTTTTCTCACCCTGCGACATAAATTTTACTGGAATTGACATCATACTATTTGCATGTCTGTGTCATTTCAATTTCTTCTCTTTTTCTTACAGTATATTGACCCTCAAGAAAAATTTAATATCAAAATGACTGGAATGAATAATGGGGCCACATCTCATCTGATAAACTTAAGTCTGCTTACCCTTCTCAAAAATACACTTCTGATACTGAACAAGTGAACAAGCTACATGTTCAAATAATAATTTTGTTACTCTCAGGTTAACGAAAAAGTAGAATGTTATTCGGATAAAACGACGTTCTAAAATTTGATTTGAATTAATATAATAAATTTTCATGTTAAAGTAACGGTTTAAATACTTATTCTTAAAACAAATGGTGCTTAAATATATAAAAAAAATAAAACATACCTCAGTACTGCTAGAAGGGGAGAATTTGTTTACAAACAAAAGCACGTGCAGCTTCCGGTGGGAAAAACCCAATCTTATGGGAGTGAGTATTATACAATTTTTTATTTTTGGAATTATTTTGTATTTTACCATAAATTTTGTAATCCTTTGTTAGAAATACATATTTTAATATCGACAAAACAGTTTTTCATTACATCATGATTAGTGTATCATAACTATACAAAAATAAAGCAAAAAGAATAATATTTGTTTTCCTGTGTTAATTGCTTATCCTTCCCTCCAAATTTTAAAGAAAATATCAACACATTGTTATGGCTCTTGAAGCGATAGACGATTATTACGATCTAAATGACATATTATCAACAAATGAAAAATTACCATGTAAAATAGAGATGCCTATATATCGATTAGGTAAGTGCAAACTAAGGAGAAGTTGACTTATCATTCTTTGTCACAAAAGTCATTAGTTTTCGCGATATAATTTTTTTCTGAATTAAGGAGAAATATTTTCTCGATCATTCATTTGAATCAGGAATTGGAAAATTTACATATATTGAAGTCGTTTCTAGATATTTCGAAATGGTTATAGCATTGAGATTTTATTCATATTTCTAAAATAAATCTACTTCCGTATTGTTGTTTCTGTTTTGATTTTTTTGAGTGAATTGGTCTACAATGCATAGATTCCTGACCTAGAGTTGTCACTGATTCAGTGCAAAGCAACAATATATATAGGCTTATCTCGGATGACAAATATCAATGAAACAACGATATGCATTTATAGATATTAAAGTAATTGACAGACTTGTCATTCACTATCACATTAAATTGTTTCAGAAACACTTCAAATACATGATCAGTCCAGTGGCTTGTTTATAAATGCCCATTGGGTGTTAATTTCCTAACCATATTTTGTTGTCATTGCCATTAAATATTTCCATTATGTGTCACAGGGTTAGAAAAAATGTGCAGCCTGACCAGGACTCGAACCTAGTCAAAATATATAGACGTGCCAAAGCTTGATTCTGAGATATTTTCGTTCTGGGGCAGAATCTCGCTTTAACGTCAAAACCAAAAGGAGACCTTTCTGTGGTGAAACGTGGATTTCGATGTTAATGTAAAAATGCAGACAATTTAAACTAAGAATCTATTCAACAATACAATTTTAAGGAATCAACAGCACAAAAAGTGCTAGACTATCAACTTAGAAGTAAGTAAACCACGTTAGTTTCATTTCACCGTCTCATTTGTGTACCAACGCCACCATATTGTGATGTTGTTACAGTAATGTAACATGTACGCTAAAAATTGATATTGTTCGGTACCGTGCGTGAATGTTGTCATTTTTTTTGCGTGGCAAAAAAAAATATGAAAAACTGTTAAACAGTGCTTATTATTCTTTAATGTTGTTATTATTAATTATATTTATTGCTACATTAAAATAAATCGCCAGGAAATAATCTTTAACTATTTTTTCTAATTGATTGAAATCTTTAAAATGATGCGGAGAAACTTTTAATTTAGACCTCTTTTTTATAAACATGTTTATTAAAGGATAAACAAATACTGTATTTCATTAAAATTTATATTGTCACCACTCTGTAGTATTATCTATGTTAGAATAATTATGTTAGTTACAACTTGCTGCGTATTAAAATCAGCAACTCCTTGCCTAGGAAAGTTTTGTTTTCCAAACGTGCATTACGCTATGAAAGATTTTTTGAATTCAAATGGTAAATTCTTGCGTTAATTTTTCATTCCTCAACAGTTTTCAGAAAAGTAAAACTCGTTACTCCGAGCGCCCATTTTTTGTTTGCCTGCGTGTACATGTACAATTTATCCGTGTAATAAAAGACTATAATCATAGCATGCCGTAATGGCCTGGATATTTGGATGTTGTTTAAGCGATGTTCCAGAAAAGTTTTTGTTCCGGTATAGAAAATATATTCAACCATTTATTTATTTTTGAAACGTTACGTGTCAACTATTCCACAACGCCGACACCGGTACGCTGACCAATATACACTTCGGAAATGTTGACACTGCGCAGTTCTGTTTCTTCCTTACTTAAATTCTTTGTGTCAACTTAAAATTTATAAGATTAAGTTTTAAATAAATTTGATTTATAGATAAGTATTTAAATTGGAGCCGTGATTCCTATCCGGAATCACTTAAACAATTGTCCATGCTGTCATGGTCCAAATTGTAAAGAAAAGTTATTTTTAGATTGTAATTACATGTATTTATTTTTCAATTTATAATTATAAATATACTTGATGATTCATTTTAAAGACGATAATCTCATTCTTAAATTTCTTTCTATAATTCATTTATGAAAATTGTTTAAACGGTGGTAAGAATTTAAATGTTACAGTTTCCTCGGTATATTTTCCAGGCTCTGAATTAACGCAAGATATACCAACTTTTTGACTCAAAGTTTTGAGTTGTGACATTTAATATTTAGGAACTATTTTCTGGTTTTCTATCTAAATTCACTAGAAGGTTAAAAAATATTGGGGAAAAAAAGAACTGAAGAGGCGCCGTGTTTTCTTGCCGATTTTAAAAGATTTTGTAAATGGAGTAAAACGGCGATAATCTCGATGTTTATTTCGGCTGTTGCGTTGTTTATATTGATGTTGAAGTTTAAAATTGACCATCATCATGAAGAATTATATCTTCTGTGTCGATGGACCAAAGGATTATGTGAAAATATTGGAAACGGAATAAAATGCATGGTGTTTTGACGGTAGGTGTGCGGATTTTTTCCGGCGAACATTTTTATCTTGTGTATTATTATAGACGTTGAAATATGATTTTTTTTCAAAACGGCTTATATTAAGTATTTATATATATATGTATATATATACATGATCAGTACATGTGCTGGGATTGACAAATATGCATTTCTTTATTTTAAAATCGTTTTGAGCTCCACACCCTACACCTCTGTGAAAGAAATTAGCGGCGTAGCGTTTTGTTTATGTATAACATTGTAAAATAACCGCCTGCGTGTATTTTATAAAGGAAAATAATTTCTAAGACGGCATAAAAGTGAAATGTATGGAATAAATCTTTACGGTATACCAACATTATGAAAGTCTATTGGAAAACAAAAAAAAAACAACAAAAAAAAAAAATGAAGCGGGCACATGTTTCATGAAATAAATTTCCGAGTATTTTTCTCTGTACCACGGTCATTTCAAAACAATTTCATACCTACGTGTGTGCGTGTGTGTGTTTTTCTTTCTATAAACATCTTCAGAAAGCTTTTTGGAATAAACTAGCAAGAATTATGGACCTGCCTGGATAAGAAAATAAAAAAAATAAAATTACATGGAATGTACATGTGTCGAGGCACCGCGTTTGACATTTATTCGTTTTATACCGCGTTTGACATTAATTCGTTTTATTATTGATAAAAAATATTTTGAACATTGAAAATATCGTTTAATAGTTAATCAACATTAATATAAATAACAACATTAATATAAATAACAGACTGTCAAATTCCTTAGAATGGCGTCCTCTCGTAGTCGCTAAGGCACTAGGAATCCGTTCGTTGCTCTTTAAACATATAAACCTCGTGTTTCTGCTATTAACATATTCCTATTTTCATCATAATCGTAAAGGAAAAAAATCTATAGTTACCAATAGGTCCCATGTCCTATATTTTCTGGGAAAGCTGAACAAAATATTATTTTTATAACTAGAAAATATTTTGTGAGGAGATTTACAGAGTAGCTTTTCTAAAAAGATAATGATGATTCTGATATTTCTAAGAACGCTCTGACAATAACGAATAAGTTTTGCATCTGCCCCAATAAAATAATATTTTCATCCTTTCATAGTTATTTTTTTTTTTTTTGCATAAATAAATGTCTTAAATATAACATTAAACTTGATATTTTACTAAGAGTGTTTCGGCGTTTCTCAGTAACGCAGTACCGCATACACACCAGTGTAGTAATCAACAGTGTATTTGTCACGTGACATTAGCGGCGATGTCTTTATTTTGATGGTTCATGTGTTTACTTTTCTATCAAAATCTTTATGTTAGGAATATTTTCACAAATAAAACATGAAATTGATGTAGAAATGAATAATCTTTAAAGGTATCGTAACAAATTTATTCAAATATGAATTCTAATACGATTTTAGACGGTCCAAAGCTTGCGCTCAAAATCCCGGCGCAAATTTCACCACAGAAAAGGTACTTTTTAGGTTGTACGTAGAGGCGAGATATTGCCCAGACACGAAAATAGCACAATATCTCGTAGCGGAGTACAATTAGTTGGACTAGACTCGAACCCAGATCGAACCCTCTAAAGACAGTTTTGCGGCTCTACCAACTGAGCTATCCAGCTAATTACACATCATCTCCCCTAAATAGTGAAATCATTACACCAGTTATCAACAGATGTAGTAAAGAAACTGTGCTTCAGATTTTTATTTCCTTTAGCCGGTGTCAATAGCATCAGTTTTATGAGTATATCAAGCTAAAAATATTAGGTTGTACATGAACTTTACTGATGACCCTTGTAGAGGTGTAACGATTCATCGATGCATCGCGATCTGTCTTGTCCCCGATGTATGCATCGTAATGAAATTACAAATTCCAATATATTGCGATGCAATACATATTTCACCTCCTGATGTATCGATAAAGCGGGAAGGTATCGCAATACACTAACAATATCTTCCAGGAATATAAGGACAAACGAATTTTTTGAAAGACTGATGAAAGTAAAATAGCTAGGATGAAAACAATAAACAAGCGCGACTATTATCATACCATCGTTGTCATCTCGTTTCCCCATGTCTGCAATCATTTAACGGTTACTCACCTGACCAAGTTTTGTCAATTCCATGTAAATGGGCTGGTGTTCTTTGAACTTGTTTATAATAAAACATAATTAGAGATCTGTGCGATTTCAAGAAAAAACAACCTACAAACATTAATTTTATTTTGTTGCACTTAAATGTCGGATTAAAATAGTGATGATGACAACATCCCCATGTAATATTTGTCACGTATTTATACTTTCATTTCCGTTGACATCATTTTCCCGTAAAGAAACAACAAAGCAAACAAGACGGCAAAATATATAGACGGGGAAATTACAGTCAATCCTCCCTGGTCAAATAAGTCACGTGTTTTGGGAAAATTGTAGTTTTTGGGGAACCATGAGACAGTGTTGTATAATGTGGAAGACCGGACGTGGAGTGTTTGCAAAATCAAAATTAAATACTCTGGGGTTGAGCACAAATCTTTTGAGAAAACTGAGACTGAAACTTATAAACTGTCATTTTCACAGTTGTTGACCTAATTGTAGATCACTTGTTACTATTTTTTCACAAGAAAAATCTTTAGTGGTGTATTGTTAGACTGAAATTGTTAAACTGCCATATTTACAGTAGTGGACTTTAGCGTTAGAATAGCTAGTAGATATCAATTTTCTGTTATAGTTTAATTAAAAATACCTTTAATCCTCAAGTAATCAGAAAAGTAAATTGTTAAAAGATCAAAATCGGAAACCAAGTTATAACAACAAGTTAAAAGAGTTTATTTTTTGTTATTGTAATAGTTTTATATTATGTTCGTAATTATGCTGTAAACAAATGGCCAATTTTTTATATTATAAGTCTAAAAGTAAGTATCGTGATACGTATCGCATCGCAACATAAGAATCGCAATATGCATCGCATTTCTTAAAAGTATGCAATACATATCGTGAATCGCATCGTTTTGAAAAACAAATAATGTGATATGTATCGTGACAGAAAAAAATGGCAATGCACAGCCCTAGACCCTTGTACATAACAAAAAACTTGTCTTTGTAAAAAAATCTTTGATTTACAAGTGATCATAATATTTTATAGGCTACTGGCATGCGAGCAGTTCCCGTACAGAAGCAGTATCCGTATTTTTCATTTAAACGCTTGATTTTTACATGCATTCTTCAAAAATTCATTTCAAATCAAGCAGATACATAAACGAGACAAAATTTAAGTGTCAGTTCGGCAGTACGTATAAAAAGTCTCATTTTAAATCACTTTCACCTGTGCGTTGTCAAAACGTGACCTTGTTTTATCTCGGGGAATTCCGTCTTTGCGCGCATGCGCAAACATACTTACACGTGAGGCATGTTAAAGGGTTTTTCACTAATACCACCTGTTTACAGATAAGAAGGCAATGTGATGAAAACTTGTTTAATTATCAGAATTTTGACCAATATTACTATATAAAATAATTTTATGGCTTTGATGCGTAAAATATCATGCATACAAGCATGCCATCGCATGTGAATGCGTTGGGGGTAACGGTACCGGGTAATAGATACACGCGTTTAGTCTACTTTCTATTTTCTGAATTACATCTATTTATCTCTTAGAAAAAGGTCTGTTCAACAATTATAAATGAAAAATAGGTCCGATATAATAAAATTGTATAATTATAATGGGTTAAATTCTATGTACGGGAACTACTTCTCTTCAGACAAAATAATGGATAATTTCGGTACCCCATATGAGGCCTCATAACTAAGGGTTATTCTATGTTTAGAACATGATGGAATTTCCATGATTTGTGTGACGAGCCGAATATTGATGTGTAACATTCAAATTTTGGTGAGTGAGCGTAATAAAAAATAATGATTAAGTAACTACGATTTTTGTACGGAAACTGCTCGCATGCCAGTATCTAGATTCCAGTTCTACAAGTGAACATTTAAACCCAGGGACTAAGATTGAATTACCTTACTGGATGGCTCGCTCATTGTGTAGTCGCAAACGTCACATGGTCAGTGTTGAACTTCCAAAGAATTACAGGTATGTGAAGAAATATAATTTAATATTATACATTGTATAAATCATATTTGTACTGTTTTATAATTATGTTATATTGATAATTACGTTGTATTTATATCTAAACCTAATAGACTAGCAACCAACAAGATACATTTGGCCCAGGGCTTCCATTAGAGGATGTTTTGGAGTCATTTACTCCTAATTTTGGCTTGTGACTACTAAAATATAATGCTTTTCCTTCTTTATCTATAAATGTGACTTTTATTGAATGTCGGACATTTTGCATTTTTTTTCTTCCAAATTTTTGAACTTAATGGAAGCTCTGCATTTGGCAGAACAAAGTGAGCTTTGCTGGAGTGAAGGGACACATTTATTATTACAATATGATTTACTATGACTTGTTTGATATCATTTAATAGAATATCATTAGAAATTTACTGACTGAATTCAGAATAGCAAACAGTGCATCATAAATGCACAGACATAATGGCTGAACTTGTTCTGACTTGCTGCATGAGTAGAATCAGTTGATGACAGCAGACGAAGGGTTAACTTAAGTGCTTAATATTCAGTTATCTTTCTAAATTGGGTAAATTATAATTCTCCCATTTAAATCTTTCGGCATTATTTAGAAAATTATATTGATTTTTAGCTCACCTGTCACAAAGTGACAGGGTGAGCTTATGTGATCGCTTTTCGTCCGCCGTCCGTCCGTCCAGCGTCCGTCCGTAAACTTTTACTTTAAATGACATCTCCTCATAAACCACTAAGCCAATTTCATCCAAACTTCACAGGAATGTTCCTTTGGTGGTCACCTTTAAAAATTGTTCAAAGAATTTAATTCCATGCAGAACTCTGGTTGCCATGGCAACCGAAAAAAAAACTTTAAATATCTTCTTTTCAAAAACCATAAGAGGTAGAGCTTAGATATTTGGCATGAAACATCTTCTAGTGAGTGTCTACCAAGTTTGCTCAAATAAAAGCCCTGGGGTCAAAATTGGCCCCGCCCCGTGGGGGTCATTGATTTTCCCTATATGCATATAGTAAAAACTTAAAAAATCTTCTTTTAAAGAACCCAAAGAGCTAGAGCTAAGATATTTAGCATGAAACATGTTCTTATGGGTGTCTACCAAGTTTGCTCAAATAAAATTCCTGGGGTCAAAATTGGCCCCGCCCCGGGGGGTCATTGATTTTCCCTTTATGCATATAGTAAAAACTTAAAAAATCTTCTTTTAAAGAACTCGAAAAGCTATGGCTAAGATATTGAGCATCAAACATGCTCTAATAAGTGTCTACCAAGTTTGTTCAAATAAAAGCCCTGGGGTCAAAATTGGTCCCGCCCCAGGGGGTCATTGATTTTCCCTATATGCATATAGTAAAAACATAAAAAATCTTCTTTTAAAGATCCAAAAGAGTTAGAGCTAAGATATTTAGCACGAAACATGTTCTAATAGGTGTCTACCAAGTTTGTTCAAATAACAGCCCTGGGGTCAAAATTGGCCCCGCCCCGGGGGGTCATTGATTTTCCCTATATGCATATAGTAAAAACTTAAAAAATCTTCTTTTAAAGAAATCAAAGAGCTATGACTAAGATATTTAGCATCAAACATGTTCTAATAGGTGTCTATCAAGTTTCTTCAAATAAAAGCCCTGGGGTCAAAATTGGCACCGCCCCAGGGGTCATTGATTTTCCCTATATGTGTATAGCAAAAACTTAAAAAATCTTCTTTGAAAAAACCCAAATAGCTAGAGTTTAGATATTAAGCATAAAACATCTTTTAGTGAGTGTCTACAAAGTTTGTTCAAATAAAAGCCCTGGGGTCAAAGATTGGCCCCGCCCCGGGGGTCATTGATTTTCTTTATATGTGTATAGCAAAAACTTAAAATCTTTTTTGAAAAAACCAAAATAGCTAGAGTTTAGATATTAAGCATGAAACATCTTCTAGTAAGTGTCTACAAAGTTTGTTCAAATAAAAGCCCTGGGGTCAAAACTGGCCCGGCCCCAGGGGTGTCATTGTTTTTAACTATATGTGTATAGTAAAAACTTTAAAAAAATCTTCTTTTAAAAAGCCCAATGAGCTAGAGCTTAGATGTTTAGCATGAAACATCTTCTTATGGGTGTCTACCAAGATTGTGCAAATAAAAGCCCTTGGGTTAAATTGGCCCTGCAACATTGGGGGGGGGGGGCGGCCTATATACAGGTGAGCGACCTCAGGGCAATCATGGCCCTCTTGTTTGTTTCAGTCTGTATTGAGGTATAAACATACAAATTAAATTTCCTACATTTTGTATAATACTACAAGATAAACACTTCTTTATAATGTTTATACCTAATTCGTTTTTCAATTACAAAAGATTTTTAAAATTTTTTTCTGTATAAATTAGGGAATCATACCGTGAGATTCTAACAGCAGATGCCTCCGTAGTTGACCTACATAAGCTAGGACCATTTTACTACAGTTTTGGGACCCACTTGCTGAAGTTTGAGTTGCCAGATTCACCAGATGTTGCTAAGATTCTTGTCAAGGTAAGATTTATCTCCCTGTCTGATCAAAGCAAGCTGCATTTATATCAGTTAGTTTAACATATTTAAGCGTGATTGCAAAACAAGTTCTTGCAACTTGTTTTATTATAACTTTTGAGTCCACTTCCTTTAAGCTAACTTGAAGCAAGGCCATCCTTAAAAAAATTGTTCGTTTGCAGTAACGCGACCGACTCAAATTTTTTTTCATGGTCTGGATAAAAAAAATATTTTTTTTTGAATCAGAAAATTATGCCTTGTGCTTTTAAAGGTTAATAGAAGAAATAAAATGTAGTTCGTATTAAATTAGAATTCAGTTATCAATTTATTAATTGTTACCAGATTATCAAAGCATATATTGTCCAGCATTTTGAAATTCCATGTTTACCGGTATTTGGGAGTACAGTTCAATAAAAAAAATAAATAAATAAATAAAAATAAAAAAAAATCGACCTACCAACCCACCTTGAAAATTCTGGGTCGGGTTACTGCAAACAAACATTTTTTTAAGGATGGCCCAACCTGTACTAGTGTCAAATAAAAAAAACATGGTTGTGAGTAGGGCTTGAACCTATAATCACTTGGTTGAGATGCAGACACCTTAAACACAAGGCCACTGCCCCCTTACTAGGCCACCACTCCCATGCCTTATCAGTTGACAGTAGAAAGTAATGATTGCAGTGATTAATCTGTCATTTATTATAGAAATATTTTATGCTCAACATTTTGGCATCTTCCAGAACAATGGAGCAAGAGTCATACTTTAATTTAACAGTTTTATTACCATACCAACTGAGCTATTTGGCCAGTTACACACTGTCTTCCCTGATTAGTGAACAGTTAAATACTGTGACATGTGCTTTGTCTGCCCGCTTTGTACCTCTGTCCACCTGACAGCTATTACCAGGCTGAACAAAATAACTAAATGTAATATCCATTTTCTGAATAAATATACATATTTGTGACTTACTTTACTAGTAGTTGTTCTTATATATACAAGTTTTATAATTAATCCTTAACCAGACTAGAATTGTATAATGGACTTTTCCTTCTTTCATTTGGAATGGTCCATTATTAATTTAAGGGATTCATGTCTGATTCAGATACATTTAATCAGCTGCCTGTATACAGCCTTGTTATTCCAAATGTGCAGGCTGGCCTGGCTTTTTACTGATGTCATAGACAAGTAATCCTTATTGCTTATAGCTTAAATATTTTTTTACTTTTTCTTAATACCTTTCAGGCATTTCAGGCAAGGTTTAGAAAGGTGATGGACTCCTCACAAAATGCTTACAATGAGGACACTACAAAACTTACAGAAAAACTGGACGAATCAGAAAGACTTTTATTTAAAGCTGGTCAGTTAGGACTTAATGATTTTATGAGATGGGAGACGAGACAGACGGAAAAACTGACCACGTCAGAAATGGTGAAAAATCATCGGAAAAGAAAGCGTGCTGTGATGGAAGATGTGATGTAAAGAAAAAATGTGTTTATGCAGCGGTCTATTGTTTCACTGCTATAATATACAGACAAAAAATCTTAATGAAAATCCATCGTGGTTAAATTTTTGGCAGACTAACTACATTAAATTTTGATGATTTGCTGTCAGAAGTCACAAAGCAAGTTTATTGTAGAAAGTTGAAATATGGTGTGCAGTGTTTAGAGCCTCTGCAAATTTCAGTGAAGGAGTCTCATTCAAATGGTGCATTGCTCTTCATTTTCAAGCTATAACTTCACTTAAAGAAATTACATATACTTACTCTGTAAAATAATTGAAAGTTAGGCAACATTTTTGTGGTACATCCTTTATTATTGATTATTTAGTTGTTGTGTATTTATTGTGATTTTACTATGAAATATTTTCATTTTTCCAATCAAATATTATGCTATCAGTTCAAGTGTATAAGATTTTTATGCATATTTTGATTCTGTCTATAGATATTGCAATTATTTCTTAAATGTGTTAATATTAAATATTGTATAATAAAAACATATACGTTTTGTATATCTAAGACACTTTTTGTGTTTATGTTATCTAACTTTATAGTTATTGTGAAACAGTATGTTCATTAAAATTGTGGATTAGATATAACTGACCAATATTTATTTATTTCGAATGATTTAAAGAAGTGCTATTTTAGAATGTATTCTCATTATCTTTACTTCCAAACTTCATCCAGTGGGCAATTGTGGAAGGCATGGTAATAGATGGTAACCAGAACTTGGTTTATGTGGGATTTTTCTGTCTAATTCAGGGGTACAAACAAACTTTTACCATTAAAGCTTCATGTTGCACTGCCGTTTATGGAACCTAGATGGTTTTACTCAGGTGCCCATTTGTGCCTGAAATAATGCATGGAAGGGCGCCTGAGGTTTTCCTCCGCCAGTAAAGCCTGAACATCGCCATGTGACCTATACAGTATGTCTGTGTGACATAAACCCAATCGAACATCAAAACACTGCAGTTTATAACAGTTCTCAACAGATTATGTTTGTTATTTATACATTTACAGTTTTAACTGAAAATTTGTTTGTGCCTAAGAATTAGATGGGGCAAACCCACAAATTGCCTACATTACAAGTATCTTGATTTTGCAAAGTTTCTTTTTCAATTAGAAGTTATATTATAAATAGTATTTAACATAGATGATATTTAAATAAAATTCAATAACCATTCTGACCACATTTCCATTTGTATTTCCAAGCCTACAAAAATGTTAGAAAACCTTATCCTAAGCCAATATGAATAGCTAAAGTCTGCATACTGGATAAATCATACTGATAGAAAAATAAGGATAGTCCAGTCATTCTAGCTCAAAATAGAGCCAAACCTCAAACAAATTGCAACAGAAAATATTTTGAGTGTTTTGAAACCCAAGACCTATATTGTATAACATATCAAAAGTCTAGAAAAATCTAAATTGGAGAATGTTTTCAAAAATTGAGATCAAATATATGGGTATCATTGTATTTATTTTTTTAATTTGAACTCAATGTAATACACACATACAATTTTCCAATCAGTTTTATATATAATATGCATAAAAATATAGCTTAATCTATCCCTATAGTAACATAAAGTAATCAAAAAGTTGTTTTTGTTTAAAGAAACTACTTTTACCTTTCTAAAATTTATTAATTAACTTAAGTGGGTGGGGTAATATTATATTTTTACATTGCTGTAGATCAACAATTTATTGAAAGCTCTATGTTATATGATATTAAACAGAAAATACATAATGGTTTACGTACATGTGAAAACTGTCAAGTTTCAACGTTTTATGAATTTAATTTACATTCCATCAATATTTAATGCATATATTGAAATATTTATATTAACATTGTACAGCTAGTGGGTGGGGTAATTTTATACAAAATAGAGAAACATTAAGGAAATCTATATTATCTATGATAATAATATTGAGTTTTATATTAATCTGAATACTTTCAAGCACATCTGTTGTATTTTTTTCTGAGTCATTACGTAACATCATGACATTGGGTCAAAAGAGGTGACATTGACCTTTTGGAAGGTCAATTTCAAATATTTGATACATTTGAGCATAAAATGTAAAAAAAAATATTTGCAAATTTTGATTTGTAAAAAAGCTTCGCTAAGCATAAGCACAAGAATGTCATGACTTTTACAAAGCGTCACTCGCTTCTATAATTTCTGGTCGACCAATCTTTCACTTTTTATCACTAGATGGTAGCACCTGAAATTCTTCTGGTATATCTTTTCCAGTTCTGAAATTAGAGGAGCATAAACATGTTTGATGGTAAAGAGCATCGGCTACAAGCAAGTTGTGAACCTGTTCTATCCTTGCTCTGACTGTATCAGACAAACAGTCATTCCTCTGTATACATATATTCAAAACAGTAGGTTCTAGTGTCCTTACTGGCGAAACATCACACTTCCTTGTTTTACCCTTACTTATTAAAGATTGACCACAATATAAACAATTTTTTTTGTATGAAAACTTATCAGTCATTGATCTCAATGGTGGCATCAGTGTTTTCTTTTCTGTCTAGTGTCTCTTTTAGTGTAATGTTGGTTACAGTACATCTTTCTACACTCAATGTGAACATGGTGAATATATTATTCCGATTCAACTTTTAAACTGTCATTTTATTTCTCACTGGCAGTATTTATTCCCTTGCATTCCTTTTCGTTGCCTTTAACTGTCTTTGTATGATCATCAAACAGCCGTTAACAAATCCGACAGGAGTTCATCTTGAAAAAAGTAACAATAACTGATATTGTAAGATTTATAAAATCTGTTTTTTACATTATAGGGAAGTTGATCCAGAATTACCCAAAATTTGTTTATAATTCTGATAACTTTTTTATGTTTTCTTCATTAAATTTATAAATGCGCAAAGATCGATGTTTCTTCTATTTAATTGCCAACTATAATTGATTATAAACATCCAGTACCGTCTCAGGCCGCCTTAAAAAAAAACCTGGATACGCCACAGCAGCGCAACTCAAAGAACATCAACATTTTTTTGCATAATGTGACAAATCCTATGTTTGCTTATATGGTAGGCATACTGTGTTTAATTATCATATTCTTGTTTCCTTGTAAAGAGGATATATTACGCAGTAATAAAGTGTTTGTTATATGAACTTTGAATAAATATTATTGAATTTATTGTTTAAATTACGGGTATTTCTGGATCATCCCTTGCATTCTTGTATTCTGGTTATTGGTAGCTGATTACGTATTGTTTCAGTTATCCCAGAACAGTACGTGTTATTATAAGATGTATTTTTCCTAAATGGCTTTCCTTAAAATGTTTTAGGTCAAAGTTGCTGATATGACACACTTTTCTTGCATATCAGACTGGCGTTTCCGTTAGTATTACCCATGCCGGAAATTTCATCTGGCATAGGGGGTGCCAGATGAGTCGCGTGCTGTACAATGTCACGCTTAAGCCCCAGTCACATTAGAGCTTACGACCAGTGAAGACCAGTTCACGATCACCAGTGACCTCTGGTCGCGGACAATCTTTAAAACGTCTTACGTCGGTCATCGGTGATCTTTGACAGTCGCAGGCTATCTTATTTAGGTCCCACGACCAATTTCAGTCGTAGAGAGGTTTTTGAGCTTGCACAAAAACCTCCATGCGATCAAACAGGTCGCTAAAGTGATCTTATAAGGTCTTAGGCTGTCGCACGATGGTCGTTCAGAAGTGCGACAATCTTACGACAGTCTATACAAATTGCCACTAGTCACTGATTATCTTGAGTAGTCTTTAGTAATCGTGTGATGGTCGTACGACTAGTTGTAGGTGGTCGCATGACAGGTCACGGGTAGTCGTAAGCAATCCACACAATCTTGAGACCAGCGTACGTACGTTTGCTTATGACCTGTCGTGCGATTGTCAATGATGACTGGTCTTACGATAGTCGCAGAAGTAAATTTATACGTGCAAAAATGGTTTTGGTCGCAGACAATCGCTGATGATCGTCAGTTTTACAAGTCCCCGGTGGTCGCAAGTAATCTTAAGCTCTAGTGTGACTGGGGTTTTAGGATGACGTAATTTTACCGTTATGAATGAAGTTGTAATTTCATACGCTGTTGTACGAAAATAGTTTCGGTTGTAAGGGCATAAATTCCCATTGAAAATTAAGATTAAGAATTCAAAATATAATGTTATATCGTAAAATATGCAAGAAAAAATATCTGACATATGTTTGCGGTTCGGATCGGAATATCCGTCCCTCGGTAACCCGCCCGTGTGCGGTAACTCGGCAAGCCTCGTTACCGCCCAATGGGCGGGTCACCTCGGGACGGACATTCCGATCCGAACCGCAACATATGACAGATATTATTATTATTTTCTAAGGTTTTAATCTAAAATTATCAATATAAAATACCTACTGGTTAAAGTGTTTGGAAGTAACGTAAAGATAAAGTCACATATTGAGTTTAAAAATGTGACATTTCAATTTTAAGCATTTCTAATGCCCATCCGTGCATGCATTCAAAAATGTTTGTACTGATATGTTACTATATGGAACTTATGACACACTTTAAAAGTTTACTTATATGAAAAATATCATAAAAGTGATTTTGTGAAACAAATGTCTCAACTATTCACCTTTACCTTTAACTCGTATACATCACAGTGTCCTCAGAACACTTTCAAGATCGGGCATACCCATTGGCTCTTGTGTGTTGATGAAATCTGTAACATAGAAATTACTTCAAGTTTGAAAGGTTTCATATTTACGTGAATCAAGGTTCTATAGAATACACAGATGTTTTTATTGTTACATGTATTTGCTTAAATTTTTATTTTAAAAGTGATAAAATTATACTATAGTCAACTTAGGTGTGCATTCCGAAAGAAATACTAATATATCGCTGTGAATTAATCTTATACACGTAATGCACTTTTTCAAATTCGCGCAGGTGCTATTGTATGCATAAAATATTTTCTTTTAAATTATGGATCAACTGTGCATGTTCACCTTGAACTCATACACATCGCCAATCATGAACCATAACTAGAAATTACGTTTGTTTATTGATAAATTTTTCATGTCACCTTTTCATGTATAAATTTCTTCTATGTCTATTAAAAACTGAAAATAATTTCAGATATATTGAATTATGCATACGACGCTCTATTTCCTCCATGTTTAATATTCACTTAAATAGTAAAAGATAATGTTTGATATTTGTGTTACATAATTATGTAAAAATATTACAAATGTAAGCACAGGAAAGCAAACTTACTCATTTAGTGTACATATAGTTTACTGGATTTTTTTTTATTTTCAAAATCAAGCATACATCAATGAAGACTACCTCAAAGCGGTACCCCTGAAATAATAATAACATTACATACATTATATATGTAAAGCAATTTTAAAAAACTATTAAAAAATACAAAAAAAACAACCTTGAATACACATTTAACAATAAAACATGATTAAAGTATTCAGAATTTATTTAACGTAATTCGTCATAATTAACGTGATAATGGCGTTCCATAGTTTAAAAATACTGTCGAAATTAACTTGTTTTAAATACACATTTTTAGGCCGTTTTTGAATGTTTACTAAGACAGGAGTTAATCAGAGTTGTAATTTATATAAATTAAACTGTTTTCCATCAAAAGTATAATACAGATCGCTTGAAACACCTGTTGACCTTCAACGCACAGACGCTTGTGGTTTGGAGCTCAAAACGCCTTTAAAATCCAAATAAAATGCATATTTGTCAATCCCAGGACATGTACTGATCATATATATCAAAAAATCTTAATATATGCCGTTTTGAAAAAAAATCATATTTCAACAACTATAATAATTATAGTTGTTGAAATATGATTTTTTTTCAAAACGGCATATATTAAGATTTTTTGATATATATGATCAGTACATGTCCTGGGATTGACAAATATGCATTTTATTTGGATTTTAAAGGCGTTTTGAGCTCCAAACCACAAGCGTCTGTGCTTCAACGGATAAAGAACTGGTAAAACAAGTAATAATTTTCAACAATTACTCATAATAAACTTACGACCCCACATTAATAATTCCTATTATGATCTGTAATATTTTAAGGAAAATATACCAACCCACTTTACAGTGTACTTTACTGACATTTATTTTGTTTACACTAATTTTGTTGTTGTTGTCGCCATTATGCAGTCGCTTTTCTGAGTATTGGAGACGCTTTGTTCGCCTATGGAAGACTGTTGTCGTCAGAAAAAAATCACAAAAAATAACGTGATAAAAACCCGTTTTTTCTATGTTGCGCAACTTAGATTTTGCTAGACTTTTGATATGATTCATGTTATTCCATATACTTTCTATACCAGGTAAAATATTTTCTGTTGCAATTTGTTTGAGGTCGATTTACAGACTGACTGGACTAGGAATCATGTCTGTGAACCCAGAAGATAAAGAATCTATGGTCGCTAAAAGAAGTGCAGACTTCACTAAGCTGTTTAGATTTTGGGGCATGCCGGATCAGATGGTGAACAAGTGTGCAAAGTCTTAAGCCATTTGTCAATAGACTTTGAAAATATTTGCGGTGGTACGCAAACTTTAACTAGTGGTTAAGCCAAGGCTCCAGGTAATAGGATAGCTCTTCTTGTTGTTCAAATAGTTGAGCTAAAAACTTGGGCAAGAAAGTTTTATATTGAACACACTTGGCCAGAAAGGTTCATATTAATAATATGTGGCCACAATACTGAACTGAATACACTTGACTAGAAAGGTTCATATTTAAACACTGAGGCTAAGATTGAAAACAAATAAATACAACATGTTTCATTTGGAATACAGCACATTTTATTATAAAAGAGTAGTCTTATAACAGACATTTGACATCTTGTTGATGCCTTTGAGAAAATTATTATCAACAACTTAATACATTATAACATTGAAACTAGATGATAAACTTTACACACAGAAATTAATTATTTTTATGTCTATGTTCACACAATACATTGTATATTCACATAAAACAGATAGCAAAATGGTAAAGATGTCCTGACCCCCGTGTTCACTGTAAATAGATCATGATCAAATAATTCCGATTTTATTTTCATTATTTATAGATTTAAACTAAAATTGAATGTATTTTGCTAGAGTTGAAATGCACATTAACAAAATGTAAAACAAAATGCTGATTTGCAAAGAAACAACCCTTTGAATAATTTTAGGATAAAATCAGCGAACAACCAAAAAAATACAAAAATAATTGGATCAAATAACTTAAGGATCAATTTTAGGATCAAGATCATATTTGGATCAATCTTGTAAAATAACATTCAATTTATCATACCATTTCATAAACATGTTATTTCTAGTCAAATTTTATAATGTTAATAATTATGATATTTTAATTTATTATATACCTATAAATTTTCACGCAAATATTGAAGCGGAAATACGCTTCAATGGATACAAATTTCCATAATATGTAAGTGACAAATACCATACCATATATGGAAGTGCTGGACTATTTTTGACGTTGGTTCTGATCTTAGCTTTGTATAAGTTGCATTTTGAAACGGGAACCAAAATTATAAAAGGCGTGGCCGGTTTGCAAAAATTACGTATTCATCCGTCAGTCATGAATTTATTTCTTGACAACTATATAATAAAAGGAAAATTATGTTATAGTAGCTTTCTGAGACTGTGCATTTTTCTATTGCAATGTAACTACGGTTGTAAAATTGATATTAATTTTCCACAGCTGCTCGTAGAAAAAATACAAAGCCTCAGAAAGCTACTACAACATAATATTCCGTATATATGAGGATAAACAATGGAGAATATTTGAGATTACAAATCCGAATCTGATCCTGAAATCTTAGTGAACACAGGGCCTGATGTAAAATTTATTGATTTATGTTACATATAAATTGACATTACTGTGTTTATTCAGAAACATATATTCAAAATGAACACATGAGATGTAACATTACATTCATTTACCCCTGTACAAATATCAGTTATTCAAATGGAATAGTCCAAACTAACTACTATTGTACGGTAGTTATTAGTCAATACCTAATTATTTTCTTCAATACCTAATTACATTTTGTATTTTCTTCATTGACAATGAAATTTCAAAATAACATATTTTCATATTGATTTACTCAATAATAAAAAACAAAGGTAAACACTTATCTTATTTCATTACTTAAATTCAGATTGCTTTTAGAACTTTTTTTATTCCTTTAGCTGTTGGAAAACATTATAAATTTGACACAAAGAAAGAGAAAATGAAGTGGCAAAAAATTGGAGTCCTAAGTCACACACCAATAGTTGAATTTTATTTTTTGTGTTTACTTTCTGAAATGTAACATAATTATTGGCAGTTTAAGTATCTTCTTGAAATTCATATACTCTAGCATTAAAAACAACATTGCCAATTACGAAAAAAGCAACAAAAGTACATTACACACAAAAAAGAGGTAATAATTGTACATGTAGTGCTTATAAAGGACATGTATTATTTTTAGCTTCATGATGAAGAATTGTTGAATCTTTATTAATTTTGTTCCTCTCTCAAGTAAGGACCTGTGCAGGGATCAAACCTATGACACCTGGGGTGAAAGGCACACACCTGATCCACTGCCATTTTTCTGATTTTTTTTTTCTCACAGGAAAACTTGCAAAGAAATAGATAAATAACATTTTCTATTTGAATAAATATTTTCCTCTTTAGAATTTAAAGGCAAACATGAGTTTTACAAACTTTCAATTATAGTCTTAGAGCATGTTTGATTCTTGTGACCTTGACCCATTTTTTCAACCTTAAATTCCATCCAATTGGTAAAATCTCACTAATTACTTACCCGAGTACATGATTGTAAGAATAACTTGTCTATTAATTGAAGGGCTATATGAGAAACAGTAAGAAGGACAAAATGGCAGAATTATGCTGATCCGAAAAACATTTTTTAAATGATGCATAATTATGTATGATATTAAAATGTGTAGTAAATGTATATAATAAACATTTATGAAAAGTGTTTGGAAAAAATGATATAATGAATCTAAAAAAACAAAACAAATTGTATATCACAGAAAATGCTATAACAATTCAAAAATACAATGTATATAGGTAAAATTAATATTGAGAGTTTAAATACATGAAATAATTTTAAGAATTGACACTGTTCCTTTTGAAAAAAAATTATTACACAAGAGCATATAGCACTTGTGACTTATAAAATAAATATAAACCTTTATTTTCTGACATCCTGAAATCATTATAAAGTCAAATTAAATTTATCTATTTTTTTCCATAAAAACAAAATTTGTATACTATGTCTTGTTGAAATAGGATTCATCTTGAGTTATGCCCCTTTATTCCTAAATCCACTTACAACACCCTGTTATAATTATATCATCAATTTTTCAAATGATAATTTTTTTTTCATAAAACATAATTTTTACTGTATTTCAAGATTTGCTTCATATGTTGAAATATAATTCATCTGGAGTTGTGTCCCTTTATTCTTAGATCCACAAACAATATCTCGAACAAGCAGAGATAAAATAACAAGTAACTCAAACTTTTAAACATATAACTAACATAAACATGCCCTAAAAGATACAATATGTATAATTATTGTATAAAATCAGGGGCAATATGATATATATATTGTACATTATGTAAAAATAAAACATCAACATCAGCAGTTCAGCTTTAACAATGAAGCAAAAATGTAAAAATAAAACAAAATACTGATATAAAAACATATAAAATAGCAAATTGTACACGATACAACATGGAGAATAGCTTCAGCAGTACACTTTTGTTTCATACTAGGCACTTTTTTCAATGTAAAGAATGAATATAATATAATGTACAACATGTCGAGTTCACAAAAAAAACTAAGTACAGCAAAAATTTAAAATAAAGACCCCTACTGAAAAGTATGGAACATCAACTTTGCATTCTGAATGATCATACAAAAGACAATGATAAAGAAAATATCATGTATTAATATCATGATCTCATATTTGATTTTGTCATGAGTGGATTTCCATAGGCTATAGTATCACGAGAGGCATGGATAATGTGAACTGTGCTTTGAGGTCTGTTGAAAACATAACTCAACTGACCTAAACCTAGGTTCTCTTCTAATAACCCTTTTTATTATGATTTGTCAATGCATTTATATTCATGATGTCCAGATGTATTTAAACAAGAGCTGTCGGTAGGACAGCAACGCTCGACTATTCTTAGTGCTTGATAGTAAAAAAAATGCTTGATACAGTTACCTCCTCCTGTTTACAGGTTGTGGTCATGATGGTGAACAAGCGTGCAAAGTTTCAAAGCCATATGTCAATGGACTCTGAAAATGTTTGAACTATTACAAAAACTTTAACGTAAATTCTAAGTCGAAAAAGGGGCATAATTCTGTCAAAATGCTTGAAAGAGTTACCTCCTCCTGTCTACAGGTTGGGGTCATGATGGTGAACAAGTGTGCAAAGTTTCAAAGCCATATGTCAATGGAATTTGAAAATATTTTAACTATTACAAAAACTTTAACGTAAATTCTAAGTCGAAAAAGGGGCATAATTCTGTCAAAATGCTTGATAGAATTACCTCCTCCTGTCTACAGGTTGGGGTCATGATGGTGAACAAGTGTGCAAAGTTTCAAAGCCATATGTCAATGGACTTTGAAAATATTTGAACTATTACAAAAACTTAAACAGAAGTGGTTACACGGACGCTGACGAGGACGCCGACGCTCGGGTGACTGCAATAGCTCTACTTATTCTTATCGAATAGTCGAGCTAAAAAATTATAATTCGTTTTGCAGTTATCAAAGTCGGTCACATAATTTTCAGTTAATATAAATCTACATGAAATTATCTAGGCTATAATTATATTGTATAAGTTGATATTTCCATGTGTCAAAAAGTTAGCAAATTTAAAATTCCAGACATTTTATGAGAGGAAATATTGGCGAATCCTGCAAGGGTAGAATTCAATGTTTAAGATAGGTTGATATTTATACTAGAGGAAATTTCAGAGATTTTTGTCAATTCAAAATACATGTATATGCCAATATCTCTGTGTCACTAACTCAACCACTTATACAGTATGCATTGTAATTATTGCATTTACTGCCTACATGTAGTTTAAATGATGTAGCAAGACCTCAAATGCCACCACACTTAAAATGGGCCCGAGTCAGAGCAAGTTACAACCCTCTTCTTCACAGACAGTTAACTTATTATTAATAGTAGCCAACAATTAATAATGGACTGTTGAAAAGAGTATGCCAACTGAGTAAATGGCATGATGTAAATGTTTATAAAGTCCAGAACGGAATCTAATTCTTATCAAAATATCCCTGTAACGTAAATATCAAATGAGAATCTGTATACCTTTATAAAATCTCATAACCTTCAGTGTACTTTCAACAATAAAAAAACTTTACAAGCTCTCTTGACAGTATAAATGTCTATCATATCTACCCTATAAAACCTTAAAAATATCTTCAAAAGATCAATTATTGGTGATTTGTATTGCAATATCATTTTTCCTATTGCATATCTTCACATACTAGTATGAAATAATAATTTTCAGTGCATTATTGGAAATAAACTATAATGAAGTATCAATCTTTGAAATTTTGAAAGATGATAATGGTATACTGTGCACTGATTGTATTCTAAAATGAATAAAATATAGTCCAGAATCTCATTTAAAAAGTAATTTTGAAATGAGCCACAAAATTGTTTGATGTCATTCCTAACCACATCCAAACAGCTATGAATTCTTTCAAAGTTATGTGTATATTTAGTGGCATTTTGCCTTTGTTTATTTAGTGGTGTTATGCCTCAGCAGTAGCGGTACCTTCCTGTTGCATAGTTATATCAATTGCCGGCACTTGCATTTCACTTTGAACGATTGAGTGCCGCGACGCCTGACTTGACCTTTGTATCTCACCATCAACTATTGAGATCTTACTGGTGCTTGATCTGTGCGACATTCTAAAAATAGAACATTGACATGTGTAATGCCTAGTACTGTTAGCCATATAGAACATACCAACTGTATGCTGAAATATCCAAGAGAAAACTGTAAATAGGGAAGTCGTGGCCAAGTGCTTACGGTCTTTGACTTCAAACCATTTGCACCTCACCACTTTGAGTTCGAATCCCTTCAAGGAATTAGGATTCTTTCATGTAAGGAAGCTATCCAGCTAGCTTATGAAACAATGGTGGTTCTACTCAAGATCCCATTCCATCCTGCACGGAAGGGCACCCAAGGTCTTCCTCCACCAGTGAAGCTTGAAAAAGAACATAATATTATGGCCTATACTGTGTTGGTTTGGACTTAAAACCCAACAAAAATAAAACTGTTATTAATAGTTGCTTAATGCTCATTACTATAAGCAAAGTAAGTCAAAATACACAAAAGCTGCTTTGTTCAGTTAGTAATAGGCCGCAGTGTCACAAGTACATAAACAATCCACACCCTTCATGACTTTTGTATGCCCACCCATATGGTTCATTCCGGTGGCGAGGGTAAATAAACCAAACATACACACACTAGTTGTGTAGGCTTTCTTCTATTTCTTTTTCTTGTTCTTGTTGAAGATTTGTGTAATCATTTCTAGTTATTCAGCTTTAAAGTAAGTCACTTAATTGCATTAAAGACTTAACTACAATATTTATATAATGCCCTCCTTGTAACCTTCTTACATAATACTTAGAACAGAAAAATCATTGACAGCAATTAATGTTACCTTGAGGTTCTGTCTGTAAGTGGAGGATCCTCTAAATTTGATGAGGACGCTCTGATATTGCTGGCACTCTTGGACGAGTCCATCAGACCGATGCTGCTATCTGGTGTAGGTGGAGGCTCGGACATTCTGTCAGCAACAAGGTTCGTTCTTCCTTCCCTGTTATAAATATAGGTGAATGTTTTTGAAACAATTTATACCTATTGTAAATAAATATTTACATGTTCTGTACATGAAAACTGTTTAAATCTTGTCTACTGGAAGTGAATTACTTTTGACAACAGTTAGTATTTCTAAATATCTCCCTTTGACCTTACCTGATTATCTCCCCTTAACATTTCACAAATTATCTCCTCTTTATGGTTTACGCTATTTTTCTCTGTAATATTTACTAATTATCTCCCTTTTACTTTGAGTGATAACATGGTTTCCTCAATGCATTAAAATAATACTAACGCTTTTAGTTTTGATAATTATCTCCCTTTAAACTTTTACTGCCTGCATAGTTTTCACGATGCTTTAATATTTTTTCCTATTTCTTCTACATTCATAGATTATCTCCCTTTCAATTTACTGATTACATTATTTACTCTTTTAACTGATTAAAATGTATTTCCTCTTTACACATTTAAAAATTATCTCCCTTTAACATAATATGATTATTTCCTACTACTTATAATCTCCCTTTGATTTTTATTGATTATCTTCCCCTATAACATTTACATACAAATTACAAATATATTCACTCTCTAAATACATTAGATTTAATATATAAATGTCACAAAATTAAATAAAATAAAACTCTCACGAGATAGGGGGTAGTCCAATTTTCTTATAATGCCTCCACCCCTCTAGGAACGCTGGCGACACTTTACTCTTCTTTGTGTAATGTAATAATATCTTCATAAGCATCTGATCGTTTCTACACCTGAAAATTAAAAATTTCATTTTACAATTTGTGTTTCAAAATTTCAAGTAAGCCCATTCATCTTGTGTATACCAAGTAACATGATATCAAAGGCTATTTTTTAATTATAACAGTATGATATGCAACATTCTATAATATGGCAAAAAAATAAAAAGGTGTTTTCACAAGAAAATAATGGCTACCATATTTTATTTCATTTCTAGTTTATCATCTTATTATACAGCTAAATGTTTAAACTTTTGTACCATCTACATAATTATCTGATATTATTTCATCACATTACCATTCTAATTAAAAGTATTCACTACCCTAAAAATAGTTTTTAAAAAATCACAGAACTAAAATAATTCTATATTTCAAAACATCAACTCTTGATGTATAACCGAGATAATCTTCAATTATAAATTTTGAAGTCAAAGTGCCTTGACTTTTTTCTATGATAATCAGTTTGGTTAATTCATATTTTAATTAAAATCACTGTCAAGACTTAGTGTGCTTTATTATTTCTTTAAAATTTGCTTTTTCTTTATTTCTTGAAAATTTGAAAAAAAAGAAATTAATATTATTAATAAAGGGACATTGTGATCAAGGAATGCTGGGACTTGTGAGAAACAGGCATGTCAAACCAAATTTTCATTTAAAAGGCAAAAAATCTGAGCAAAATTGAGAAGAAAAAAAAAAACATGCGGTGGAGAAAAAACTGAAAATATGAAGAAGAAAAAATCTGTAAAAACAACACATTGAAACTTACCCCAATATGCTACAGATATTAGCAAAATTCAGTAGGATAAAAATACAAACACAAATGTATGACAGAAGATTACTTTTTTACATCATAATGACTAAAAACATTAAACCACTGTGTTAAACCCCTGGTGTGTTAGATGCTAAAATAACAGATCTATATCGACTGCAAAGACTGGCAAGGCAGCCTACATATTCTTAAAGTCTGGCCAGACCCTACACAGTGATAGATGCCAAATTTTAAATTTGAGATATCAACAAATTTAGTTGAAACCAGTATAATAATTATAAGAATATAATACCCTTGCTGTTGTGAAGTCTGTTTCTTTGCTATGTTTGGTCTTAGAGTGCACCCAACACAACACAATTAAGATCATATGGTGCCAAAACAGGGAAGATGATTTTGGCTAACCTAGGGTGTTACGAACTTAAAGCAACACCAGGGGTCAAAACCACCACACCAGAAATGCTGGTGAGCTAAGAGATGCATACACTCCAGTTATTAGAACCTATCAGTTGCCCCTTACTATCACTCGGAGATAAATTGTGATGCCTGAATACCCTAAGGCATCCCTTCAGCTACATGGGGGTGGTATGGAGCAGAGTATCTAGCTGAAGGGTTACTGTTTACATTGGTATCAAGGCTCTGTTGAGTTTCTGCTGAACAGTTACCCAAGAATTAGATATTAATGTCTGTGATAACAGCCGATGTTTTATTCTTTTTCTTGCATATTACATATTAATCATATAAGAATCTTACACTGGCTGCCAGTACAGACCGGAATATCTAGCTCGAGGGTTACTGTTTACGGGGGTAACGAGGCTCTGCCGAGTTTCTTCTAAACAGTTACCTGAGAGCTAGATACTCACGTCTGTACCGAAAGCAAGTGTTTAATTCTTTTTCTTGTATATAACATATCAATTATTTTCAGAACAGAAATTACGAAAACTATTATTCTCATTACGCACTTTTTTCATATACATGTAGTAGTGTATGAACTTACAACTTCATTCATAACAGTAAAATGTTGTCAGCCTAAGAACGCAATTCATTCTTAAAAGTTGTGCGTCAATGACGTCATTTAAAGCACACAACTTCTAACATGGGGGGTGTAAGACAGGATTTTCTAGCACTGGTGTAAATGGTAGATAATCCTGTCTGACATGCAAGATTATTCCCAAAAGAAGGGGGCGTGTAAGACAGGATTTTTAGCACCAATGTTTACAGTAAATAATACTGTCTCATATGACATGCAAGAAGAAAAACAGACAAACCAACAAATACTGTATACCAATCATAAACCATCAGTAAAGCTCCATGTTTTAGTAATCAAAATTTAGAAACAATCAACTTCAACTCATATGAAAACAAAAATTTCAACTCACTTGTTAAGAAGTTGTCTCTCTGCGGTATGTGTATATGAAAGGTAACCGAGGGCGATAGCTGCACAACCCCTCACTTGCTCCGCCTGGTGCAACAGAAGTTTTGTGAGGAACTCAATCGCATTAATGGCTATAATTGCTGCAGGTACACCTGAAGAAAGTTTAAAATATCAGTTAATTAGTACCATTTTCCGGTTCAAATATCTTTTTAATTTTTTAACCCTTATCACACTAAATATGTAAAATGGATTTGTCCATCTTTCTACCTGGGCATGACTATCCATAATTTTTTTTGAGAATTTCAAAATATTTACATACTGAATTTTCAGTGCAGACCATTATCAGACGGCACAGCTGTACTTGGTCTACACTGGTTGCAATCAGGTTCTATCTGTTGACATTAGCAGTCTATGGGTTAAAAATATTTTAAATATAAATTATATGCAGAGGATCTTTACAAGAGTTGTCTACCTTACAATATGCTTTGAACTAATAATTTCTCTCTGCTTGATAATTCAAGAGGGGCATTTAATAATTATTAAAATTTAGTGTTAAAGGTGGTGTATGAAGAACGTACAAGAGAATATTTTTAATTTCATATTTTACCTTATGCATTAATTTAAGTGAATAAGTGTGGTGGTAAAAAAAAAATTACTGGTAACCAAAAGTGACAATTATACACAGGGGCACTTAATTAGGTTCAGAAAAAGTATGGCAGCTGATATGAGACGCTGAAATGGTGGCAAACTCAGGTATCATTAACTTTATCATTAAAATTCACTATTAAAGAGCAATGTCCCCAGATTCATGCTTAAAAATTTCCAAAAACATTTTGAAAATGTATAAAAACATAAAATATTGTGAAGTAAACAAAGAAAAAAGCATTCTATCATTGCAAACAGCACTTACAACCAATGTGAATGAAGTCAAACTATGCAAAAATAGCCCTTACTGCAAATAGAAAAGCATAAGAAATATGGAAAAAAAAATGGCAAAATCAGCCATTAACTGCTTATTACATGGAAATTAATACTTTTATTTTGAATCTTTTTACTTTTCTTAAATTCTCAGTACTCTTTTCTAAATTTTGATTCTTAAAAACATTTTTGCTCATCTGGAGACATGCAGCATAAATAATTGACCTATAAATAATGGACAAGTCCAAAATTTAAATCCAGTATACAGCTTGTCAAAAAAAGACTATACTACTACTATAAGAAAAAGACTACAGCAAAGGTACCAACCAGCACGGGTATGAGCCAGTCTTGCTATGCAGTCCGATGCCAGGGCAAGTATTTGGTCTGACTGCGAGTCCTGAAGGAGGTCAACAAGAAGTTTGATACCTGTTGCCGATGACAATGCCTGCTCCTCATCTGGTATAATCTTTGATAGCACTACAACCTGAAATATGTATGTAAATCTGCTGCAAAGTGTTACATCTGTACTTTGTGGTGATAAAGTAACACAGTATAGTTGTTTAAAATGTTAAATAAGAGATTCATTTATAAAAAAAAAATACCTTCATGAAGATATTGAAATATGTGCCCTGCAGTCTTGCCAAGTTTTTAACTGCTTGCTCTTTATTTCCCTGCTCAATTTAATATTTACATATTGAAACACCTTAAGGTCTCAATACAAGACCAATTTATTATAGATATTTAGCAGGGTATAAGTTGATTACATGTATTGCCTTTTTTACGTATGTATCATTACATAATACTAAGTAACTAGGACTTACAAAATGGTTTAGCCCTTGATTTGCTGAAACCAAAAGGTTTAGCCTTTGCTAGCAATATAAAACTGGGCCAGCCTGCACCTCAATGCAATCTGACCAGCCTCCATACTGTTGGTTGACTTATCTTAAAATGTTTATCTTAAAAAATCCCTAATATTGATATTAGACAGTTAAAAAGAAGCTGGGCAAGGTCTAAATGACGTAACAGTGTATATAAAAATGCATGCATATGTATACATGTAAATGTCAAGTCAGCTACAGGGTTTTCTAGTATCCAATTCAATCAAAATGTCACAATTATGATAAAATTAATTAAACAGATATCTTTGCAACAGAACAATATTCATAATTTCTGAAAAGTAGTAAAGTAAAAATTATTTCTAATAAATTACCTGAAATGCTGCATTACATCTGTAAAATTCATCTGATGATTGAAGAAATGGTATAAAACAGTTGAATCTCACACCACCCTGTTCTGCTATCTCTTTTTGTTGGCTTATGTTGTTATACGCAAATGCTGCAAGTGCCGAGCCAGCTAGGAGTCGTACAACGTCGTGCTGAGCATACATCATTTTGAGTATCCGTACGTAACTGAAATCTATCGTTCCATTGATCTCTTCTAATATCTCTTGGTTTCCTGAAATAACGAAAGAAAATCATATTTCTATTATGAATCTTGGTCAGTTTCCAGAAAAAACGATTTCACAAAGCATATTTGTATTATTATATGAAGCTAGGTCAATTTTCGTGGTTGAAGAGGGATGTTATATAAGTATACAGATATGTAATACTGAACAATCACGTTTTAACACTAACAAAGCTTAAATATCTTAAATGGACTTGCCCATCTTTCAATCTGATTAAAACCATTCATTATTTTAGGGAAAATTTCAAAATATGTAGTGACTGTATAGCAAAAAGTGCAGGCTATGATAAGGTGGCACACATTACATTTTTCAACCTGATCTTCAATAGGTTTGCACTGGTCATATGGGTAAATCATGTAGTTGCTGCCAGCAGCTACATTTTTCTACTTTAAACACATTTTTTTTACAAATAAATAAGTCTCAAATTCACAGGATGGCAAAAGAATTGAACAAACTTCGGAGGGCATCAGTTTTCTTGAGGGGGGGGGGGGGGGGGCCATCAGTTTGCTTGAGGGTGGAGGGTGGGGGTAGGTAACCCATGATTTAGCTGACTCAGGATGATCATGATAAATATTCATTTTGTTACAAAACAGTAGAGATTTATATACATGTTCATATTTTAATGATCAGATTTCTGCTTAAGCTGGTGCACGGGGGTGTGGCAGGTAGATTGCATTTAGAACTGCCACCAATAAACAGGCTCAATCAAATTGCGGGATCAACATTTTCAATTTTGGCATATTTGACATTCTCTTTTAAGTTTCCATTTTTTCTATTTAACAGGTAATCCTTGCATAAAAAATTAAAAATTATCAAACAGGAACTACAAAATTGATGACACCAATAAATTTTGCAAATGATTTACGTATATTCCACTTTCACGTTTTTATCTCCGAAAAGAAAAAAAAACTAAAATAATTTCAAATTTGTCAAATAAACTACATTTAAAGCATTATACTTAAACCCTTCAGTTTTATAGGTTGTGTAAATTAACCAAATGTTTTGATAAAAAAAGAAATTTGTCTAAACCAATGTTTGCTTTAATGAATACTAAAGTAATCCAAATAATCAGGCATGATTGCAAAACATACTAAATGTTAACGTAGCTTGTCTTTTACTATCTTTCTGCAAACTAGGGACTGGATTTTGCAACTTTGTAGGGGATCTTGTTGTTTATACAAGACTTAAGGCGATTTAATCCAATCAGTGACAAGAAAGTTGTTAATGATAGGAAAACAAACAAAAAAATATCTGAATTAGCTCTCTCAGTCTTAAATCTTTTCTTTGAGAAAGTATTGAAAAATGACAAGCCAATGTTATAACCATAATCATTGAAGGACAATGCCATGATCATATAAAAACACGGCAATGATTGTCAAATAACTCAATGCAATGATCATCAAAAAAAAAGGCCATGATCATTTCAAGAACAGACCATGAACATCAAAGAACAAGGCCATGATCACCAAAGAATAAGGCCATGATCATCAAAGAACAAGACCATGATCATCCAGAATAAGACCATTACCATCAAGGAATAAGAACAAGGCCATGATCATCAAAGAGCAAGGCCAAGATCATCAAAAGATAAGACCATAATCATTCAGAATAAGACCATGATCAACAAAGAACAAGGCCATGTCATCATCAATAATAAGACCATGATAATCAAAGAACTAGGTCATAATTGTAAAAATACAAGACCATGATCATTTAAAGAACAGGCCATGATCATGGAAGAACAAGGCCATGATCATCAAACAACAGGCCATGATCATGGAAGAACAAGGCAATGAGTTTGTTTTGTTTGTTTTATTTTACGCCTTTTCCCAACAGTATTTCAGTCATATAGGCGGGTAGTTTCCTAACCATCGTTCCTGGAGAGTTACACCAGTACTAGACTACCTTCCTACGCGCTAAACTACCAAAGCATCTCCCGGGGATCAAACCCACCCCAGAGAGGTAACTGGATTAGAAGTCATCGACTCTAACCCCTCGACCAAGGAGGCGGTCAAGGCAATGAGTGTCAAGATACAAGGACAATTGATTATCAGAGGACTATACCATGATCATAGCATGCAAGGCACACTAATTCTTAAAGTATCAACATAACATTGTCCTTGAGTTTTAATATTTTGATTTTTTTGTTGTTTCCTTTTAATTTGCTGTATTTACTTATAAGTATCTACTTTAGCTTATCTGTGTCTGTCTGTATAACTATTTACTCAATCTGACAGTTCAAAATAAAATTGCAAATCAGTGACATTATACTAATATTTTTATGGTCAAGTTGAGCTGAATTGACTTTATATTTGAAAAAAAAAGACTGTCAAAATGGTGTTTGACCATCAGTTGATATTGGACATGTTTAGGATAAAATTATAAATCTGTCTAAAATATAAAAAGACTGCCCAAGTCTTTTTATAAACTTCAGGTTTATAGGTAAATCCTAAAGGATATTAACAGAAATTTCGTTTGGATCTGTGAGTTATTCATTGTTTTTGCCAACTTAATTATTAAATTAAAAGGAATTATGGCAAAATGAAAACTCATTTTGACACTCACTATATAATCTTGGATGGGCATAATGTCACTTTAAATTTAAGTCTCTACAAGTGATTTCTCATTTATGAATTCTGTGAATTGAATTTTTCAAATTTTTTAGGGAGGGTGGTGGCATGCTTTCATTTATAGTGTAAAACAAGAGCCTGGTTTGAGCCTGGTGATGCTCCCCGAATAGGTTTTGGACACAGGAAAGTAAATCTCTTGTAGTTTCAGAGTTATGTCCCTCAAAAAAGTTCAAAGTGCAATAATTCCAAAATTAGGCAGTCTCAGTTACTGTTCTTTGCACTGCACTTCTAATCAATGTGATCTATTAACGTACGAAGTTTCTTGATGAGATCTCTTATGATTTCCGAGTTACGTCTCGGACAACTTCAAAAAAGTAAAAATAAACAAAGGGCAATAACTCCAAAATTAGGCAAGGCAGAGTTATGATTCTTTTGCACTGCACATCTACCTATTAAGATATATATATATACCTACAAAGTTTCATGTTGTTATCTCCTATAGTTTTACAGCTATGTCCTGGACATGATTTTTCTAAAAGGGGAGATAATTCAAAAATAAGGTTTAACAGAGTTATGGTTCTTTTGCACTGCACCTCTACTCAATGAGATCTATCGACCTAGAATGTTTCATCTTGATATCTCTTATAGTTTTAGAGTTATGTTCCGGACAAAGTTCAAAGTGTTAAAATTAACAAAGTGCAATAACTCCAAAATTAGGACAAAAAGAGTTAATGTTCTTATGCACTGCACATCTACCCATTGAGATCTATTCACCTACAAAGTTTCATGTTGATATCTCTTATAGTTTTACAGCTATGTCCTGGACAAGATTTTTCTAAAAGGGGAGATAATTCAAAAATGAGGCTTAACAGAGTTATGGTTCTTTTGCACTGCACATCTTCCCATTGAGATCTATTCACCTACAAAGTTTCATGCTGATATCTCTTATAATTTTGGAGTTATGCCCCGGACAAGATTTTTCTATAAGGGGAGATAATTCAACTAGAAATGTGTCATCATGCCACGGATGCCCCCGCATGCAGCCAAAATTTCAAATGTTATAATATTTAGTTCCAAATTTGTTTGCACAAATTATTTTTTTCATTCTAAGTTCAAAGCCCTTAAAACTTTTTAATGTTAACACAAACCATTTTTATACAATGTTCAAGGCACTGAAATTATTCAGTCTTAACCATTTTTATACAATGTTCAAGGCACTGAAATTATTCAGTCTTAACCTTTTAAAAATAGCATATTGCATATTTGTAGCCAACATAATGGCTATATACATTTCCACAAAAGTATGAGTGCTGAAACTGAAAGTTCAAAATTTTTCCAACATTCAGGAAAGATAAGTTTGTCTAAAATCATTGAACCACGACCAAATTCAAACTTAAACTGCTTATTCCTAAGATGTATCTATATTATTTTCAAAGTGAAAAGGACATAACTCTGCCAAAAAATCATCGAACCATGACCAAATTCCAACTTGACCTGCGCATTCCTTTGACATATCCATATGTCAATTTTGAGTTGAATATGTAACACTGTTGGGTTGATAATGAACAGAAACTGTAAATTTCATACATGTATCATTTTCAAAGTGAAAGGGGCATTACTCTGCCAAAAATCATTGAACCATGACCAGATTCGAACTTGGTCTGCGCATTCCAAAAACATATCCATATGTCAAATTTGAGTTGAATGTGTAATATTGTTGGGGAGATAATAAACGGAAACTGAAAATTTCATATAATTTTTAAAGTGAAAGGGGCATAACTCTGCCAAAAATCATCGAACCATGACCAAATTTGAAATTGACCTGCGCATTCCTTTGACGTATCAATATGTCAAATTTGAGTTGAATGTTTAATACTGTTGGGGAGATAATAAACAGAAACTGAAAATTTCATATTATTTTCAAAGTAAAAGGGGCATAACTCTGCCAAAAATCATCGAACCATGACCAAATTTAAACTTGGCCTGCGCATTCCTTTGACGTATCAATATGTCAAATTTGAGTTGAATGTTTAATACTGTTGGGGAGATAATAAACAGAAACTGAAAATTTCATATTATTTTCAAAGTAAAAGGGGCATAACTCTGCCAAAAATCATCGAACCATGACCAATTTCGAACTTGACCTGTATTTTCTCATGACATATCCATATGTCAATTTTGAATTGAATGTTTTGAACCGTTTGGGAGATAATGAACGGAAACTGAAAATTTCATATTATTTTCAATGTAAAAGGGGCATAACTCTGCTAAAAATCATCGAACCATGACCAATTTCGAACTTGACCTGTATTTTCTCATGACATATCCATATGTCAAATTTGAGTTCAATATGTGCAAGGGTTATTAAGATAATGAACGGAAACTGATGATGACGGAAGGACGGAAGGACGGAATGACGGAATGACTGAATGACGGAATGACGGAACAGGGTAACACTATATGCCCCTGCCATTATATGGCGGGGGCATAAAAACCGGGCAAAATAGAGTTATGGTTCTTTGACACTGCACTCCCCCTCAATGCCCTCTACCACTGTATGAAGTTTCAACAAATTATCTCCAAGGGGTTTTCAAGTTATATGCTACGGACAAGACAACGGACGGACAGACGGACAAGGCGCCAACTATATGCTCATTCAAAATTTTTCGGGGAGCATAATAAAATTGGCAATAGATCTTACATTTTTCTATCATATACATGTACTGATAACATTGGTTTCATAGCAAATAAATGTGAATATAAAATATATTAACCATAATAAATAATATCAATATTTGCCTGATTGTTTGTTAATTCTTTTTAAATCATAAAAAGGCTGTAACTTAAAAATGTCCAAAGAATTTATATATAAATATATTATGTATCAATACAATTTTGTGCAATAATTGACTTTGATATCCAATCTCCTTTAAAATACTGATTTTAGATCAATTTTGTAATTTCTGCTTTTAATAGCATTTAGTCCTTAATGAACTGTTTTACACAATAGAAAGGTAGACAAATTAGAACAAAATATCATATTACTTTAAGTTAAAGAGACATGTCTGAAGTTTATGTTAATCTTTCACTTAATATATTATACACATGTAACTTTAAGGCAAGTTACAGTAAAATTAAATTTAGCAACAACACCCCATGCTGTACCTTATACATGCATTTAACACCAGTCAATTTTACCGTCCCGGGGCCCCTTCCCAATTCATCCCCCACAACCCTGGTTCCTTAATATCAGTAGTGACCATTCAGACTTTGAAGTTTTGATTATCAAACCTATTGTAAAGGCTTGTAGTGTGTGACAGGTGGTAAAATCTCTCCTGCGTGCCCTGGCTTCACTACATGTATGAAATTTATCCCCCTGCTATTTTGGCCACAACCAAAAAACCAAAAGCATTGTTATATATAGTGTACAGACAGGCAAAACATTAGGTCAGTCCATTTTATTATTAAGCGACCTACTTATAGGTCACCAAGATGGTGACATTTGTGAAAAGTTTCATCTAAAATGTTCCTTCAACGACTTAAACCTACCAATGGCTAGTATATATATATATATATTTTCAATTTAAACCAAGACATAAAATGATGAATAAAAACTTTATATTAGTTGATACAATGTTCCGAAAAATATTAGACATACATGCACAGTTATCATGCGCTTGCAATATATGATGGCAAGGCAAGGGTGTTCTTACATTTCTCAGACACAGTTAAAACAACAAAACGTTAGTTTGAAAAATATGGTAATTAATAATAAGAATTATGATGATAGTTAGCCCAAAAACAAAAGATATTTGTGCAAACTTTGTCCAAAACCTTTTTTTTTTTTCAGTTTTAAGGCATAAGTTTCTAAAGCCTTTTTGTTTTAAAAAAAAAAGTAATAACTCTGTGCATGCTCCTTTAATGTGCAATTAAAGTCACTCAGGTACTTGTCAGTTACGAGAACAGTCCATTATCATAAGTGC